GCATAAGGTTCGCCATTATTGAAAATGACTTGCCCCTGCTGCACACGCCAGGGTGGCAGTGATTATAATATCCAGATAATCATTTCAAACAAATTATTGTAATTATCAATCAATCATGACCTATTTAAACAGGGGTGGGGGTGCAAACAGAAGGTAAACTATGGCCTGAGGCACTGGATCACTTCTGTGACCCATGAGCCTCCCTCTGTCCACATAATAGCCTTCATACATTTAGGGCCATTTATGCTGTGCATTAAAGCTCGATTCACCAGCTTGATGCTGTAGGAAACAAAGTTAAAAAACCCTAATGGCTTCACGACACACAGCTTCTCAATTGTTAACATAAAGAAAAACATATTATACTCTTAAGTCTATTTACAGACTTTATAGTAGTTCATTCATATCTTATGTACTACTATACAAAGTCAAGCAGTGAATTTAAAAGAAACAAACAAAAAAAAAGACATGTGAGTCAAGTCAGACTCCTTAACCCTTACAAAATATATTCCAGTGTAATAAAGTACCTATACTGAAACCATATAATATATCTGTGTGGGTTAGGCAAGATAACTCAGTGCAACTATGTGGTGAAGTTGAAAATATACAGCAGCACGGATGTGAAAATCTGACAATAAGAAAATTATAAGTTATACAATTCCCCAATTTTGCAGACTTTACCTAACGGAAATAGTTAAAAAGGCATAAGAAGAGTCCATGGCTGCAACTTAATAATATTTTAACATTTTAGGATGAAAAACATTTACAAGGTCTACTTACCCACATTATGCTAAATGTAGGTTTAGAGAACAGTAACATCCACTATGGTGCAGATGAACACTGTCAAGAGCTAAATGTTAAGTAAAAGTATTTTAAATAGGATTACATGGAATTGATGAATGAACAAGATACGTCCTTTTTAAGTCAGACAAATCACAGAAGAGGAGCGCAGTGGACAGGCAGCAGGACTTGATCGTTTCGAGGAGATATTTCTCTGTATCTATTCAGAGTAAATCCCCAGTGAAAGGCAGCATGAATTGATTCGATCTCAGTGGTATTGAGAGGCGAATGAATGAGGCTTGAAGGGTAGAGACGGAGAAATTGTGAGAGAAGTAGATGTATAAAGAGAGAGAGACAGATAGTAGCCTTCGGGTGAGAGATGATCGTCTTGGGAAAAAAGCAATCAGTGCTCATTGATTTTTCTCAGCTGCTTGAATGGAGGGTGTCTATCTGGAAGTCATTATCTGTCATCTGATCTACCGGAGTGTTTACACACGTCGGTGCGGACAGCAGCGCTCTTCTGAAGATGAGGATTAACACACACACAGACAAACACACACAGAGAGAGCATAGACTGTCCACTTTTTACCCTGCTCTGTAGGCCTAACTCCCATTTCTAATTCCAGGGATTCTTAAAGAAAACTTTGCTCCTCTGATACCCTTTCAGCGTCTCCATCACACATAACCTATGGACTTAAGTGAATGCCCTGTGTGTGTGAAAATATACATAAGCAGGGGCTAGATGGCTAAACAGAAAGATAGTCTTGTTTTGTATAGCCAAACCAGACTAAATCAAACAATCCCTGATCTTATCGCTAATAGCTATTGATAACAATCTTTAGCTACAACAACACCATCCAGTCTACTGAAAAGCAAGGAGGGATGAAATAAGTGGAGGAAGATGGAGGAAGTACACAGAGAGAGGATTCAGATAACAGACATTTTTCATTTTCTGGCTGTGTGTGGTGTGAAGATGCGTAAAACTGGATTCTGCATGTGCCTAAGCCAGAAAGGCTCCAAAAGCCTGGGGTCTGAATCCAAAGCTTACACATCAAAATAACAAACATCTGCACACACATTTAACTCCTGGGGGCATTTCCGGGCAGCTTTCAGGCAGTGAGGCTAGAGAAGCTGAGGTATTATCTTTGTTCCATTTTATCTGGTGCTTTATCTCAGACACTGCCTCATATTTGGCTCTATTCCTCTTTCAAACACATACAATACGGCTCTTCAGGCACAGGACAAACACAATAGCTGACTTTATCTGTTTCAGCAGATAAAATTCAGTCCTTCAGGTAACAGCTAGTTAAAAAGTCAGTTTGTCAGGGTTCCCCAGCATGATAACTATCAGGACTGAAAGGGGGCCAAATTATTTGGGAAATAATAAAGACAATGTTTATTTCCTAAGAACCACTAAATTTAGCTGGGCTTTAAACTGTTTTTAGTCTGTGCTTTTATAAAAAAAAATACTATTTTATTTCAAAGTAACAAAGAAATATAATTCTGTAAATTATTACATTTGTTATATAAAAGTAAGAAGTTGGTACTCCATAAGGTCTTACTATTTAAAAAAAAAAAATTAAAATATTTAATGTCAAATTGAAGGATTTCTTGCAAAGCGCTGTCAGTTTGCTGATGTGTCTGGTGAATTGGGTTTAAGCTGTCATTGTGATCCCCAGATACACAAAAAACAGCAACAACTGGGATCGAATAACCCATTTTTACGCAAATGCACCTTGAAACATTTAATTGTTTTATTTGGGCTACAACCCAATTAATATTACACCCTAATCAAGCTAAGCATTTGTAATGACACCGAGAAGAGAGATAAAGTTAATGCCTTTTGTGCGTGTGGCCAGAATTTTCCTCGTATTTTTGAGCGGCTGCATGTGGATGAATGAGTCATGTCATAAGAAATGGCTCATGGATAATTTCATTCATATTCATAACAAGCATGTGGTCTGCCACCCGCTTGTCAAGGGCCTACCACAACTCACACTCTGCATAATGAGATGTAGCCAGTGTGTCTTTACTTATGGCCAGCAGGCGCACAATAAGTCTATGTTGCACTCTGCATGCACTCTGCATAAAGTTGCACTCTGCATCAGAGTGCAACTTCGTGCATCTGTGGTGTGACAGTTATCCAGGTATATAACAGTACAACTCATTGAATGAATGCATATGTGCTTTTAAAAGGTTGTTAGGTATTTTAGAAAACCAAGTAGGTTTTTCCACATTGTACAAAGATGTGGGGAACTCCGAAAAACCTAAACCAGCTGCGGTCAGCTCTTAAAGTAAGCTCATTGACTAATGTAGGATTTCAAATCAACCGAGGAGTCAGTGATTTACATGAAGGTCTGCCTGTTTATTCAAGGAGCAGCAAGACCCTTGACCTGAAATGCAAATACAAAAAAATTAAGTGATTTTGTTCTTTCAAAAGGCAGAGTGGTCGTACCATTTAGCTGTAAATTACAACAGGAGTAAGTCTGAGCTTAACACGCTTAGCTCACAAGGTTTCTTCACAACCTCACCAGTGTTAAGACTTAAGTAATCTTATTATATGGTGCAGGCTTTGTACAGGTATTTAATACTAGATTAATTTTGTTCTGCTTTAACATTCCTATCATGTGGATTACGGATTTGGTGATTTTGGTGCATGCTGGAAGTATTTGTGTCCCTTAAGCTTTTGACAGATTTTGTCAGATTAAAATGAGAAATGTCAATGTATTTTGCTGAGAGTTTATGTAGGAAATCAAGAGAATGTAGTAAATAATTAGGAGTCAAAAAATACAGTAGTAAAAATGTAAAACGTATCCTGTATATTTGCCTCCGTCTAAACCAATATCCCTAATACTCCAGTTCCCCTCAACTCTGACCAGTTTATTTTCTGCAGCATGATGCTGTCATTATCACTATGTTTTATCCAGGGGATGGGTTGTTGCCATTGATAAGCAGTGTACGATTTTTAATAAACATACCTTTTTAAATAAATTTGAATTCTGGTCTCATCTTACCAGAGCACCGTCTTCAAAATGTTTGCACAGTCTTCAAGCTTTAGAGAACTTTTGACTCCTTCTGACAAATTTATTGAGTATAGGGCTAAATGTTTTTGCCACCAGAGCCTAAAAGATGATCCCACAAGAGCTTTTAGGATCTGCAGCTCCTCCAGAGTAACACAGACACTTTTTGAGTTGTTTCTCACATTAATTCTCCCTTTGTCCACCCTTGGAGTTAAGGCAGATATCTATAGTATATCTCAGAGTTTTTTAAGATTTGCTCTGTAACACATTCAAATGTCAATAAATTGCTTAAACCAAGCTAGACATAAACCAAGCTTTAAAATTCTCCACACACTGCTCCATGATCTATCTACTGTGTTATTTGTTCTGTATGTTTGTCCGCAAATTTTCTCCATTAAGCCTGATGCTTAGGTTTGTTGGAGCTGGATAATACTTAGAGCCGAATTCCTACTGAGAATAAATTACACACAAGTGCACTTTGTTCACTAATAGGTAATTCAGAAGGCAGCTGTGTCACTGGATTTAATAAAGGAGTATCAGATTTAAAGATGCTACATGCAAACTTAAGCCACACCTTCTTACATTTGAAAAATAACTGGCATTCATCAATACTTTTTCCATTTCACTTTACATATATATATAGTCAATAAAATGATCAAAGGACACAAATGTTGCAGTATCTCAGGCATACATGTTATTGTTGTTGTATTTCATATTGACCTTCATTTCAAACACCCTCTCCTGTCATTAACTGAAGTTGGAGTTGTGCCTGCATACTTTCAGCATTTCCCAGAAAGTTTCTTCATGGTTTGCCCTTTGCAGCAGCCATTGTTCTTTCATGGACCATTAGATGGACATGAACTCTCCAGCCGTTGTGTTTTGACCCTGTGACACTGGCCGTAAAAACAAACTGCAGTGCCTCTTCAATAAATTCATCACCTCATAAAGTGGTCAGTGACTGGTCAATGAGACGTGTCGGTCACAGCATGTTCATTAGTAAACAGAGGACTTACTAGATGGGTGATCACTTTAGGTTCTTTCTGATAAGCAAGGCCTTCAGTAAACTGCACACCACTGAAAAGCACGAAATCAAAATGTTCTATCCATAGAGCCATTAATGTGATGCAAGGAAATATGGATGCTAGTAAAATAAACAAAGAGAGGGGGTTATAAAAACAATAGATAAAGAGATGATTATCTTACCTTTTTGATGCAGCTGTCTGGGGAGTCATCTGCATGGTCATTTATCATCTGCTGTGAAAAAAAAAGCAAAACATATATTCATAATTACAGTTTTGATACAAATATACATATTTATTCTGAAATTACCATAAAAATAGCTTGCAACATTTAATTCTCCCATGAAAAGAAATCTGCTCAAAGATCCATTAAAAATATGATTGATTCCAGCCTTTCAGAGGCCCTCAGCCTTCTGTTGTGACCCAAGCTGCTTGATGATGACAAAGAGGGACGTTCATAGTTCATCACACAAACCCTGCGGGTTACAAATATAACCAAAGGGATGTCATAATGGGCCAAGAGGTCACCAAAACACAACCAGAAGTGAAACATAACATAAAGCTAATCTGAATGAATGAGGGCCCCACATTTGATGTTAATTCTGCACTACAGAATTGCTGGAAAGTTCGCTGAGAATGTATGAGTGTATTCGTTGGTGAGAGCGTGCATAATTAAGCCTTCAAGCAATATTTACAAGGGGGCAGATGGGTGGCAGAATGCTCCCACTGTCTGCCAGAGGAAATGAAGGAAGTGGGGGCATGATGAAAAGAAGGGGCAGCACCCACTGCAATGAGTGGGTGTTTCATACAGAGTGGCAACCCAACGTCTCCCCTTCTCTGCTCGTCTCTGTCCTGCCAAGGATCAAAAAAGAGATGTTGACTGTTCAGACCAGTCTTAGGTGGGGGACTGGTGTGCAGGGCTTAGGTGAAATTATGTTGAAATCTTTCTCAGCACAGCATATTTGGGCTTTGCTTTCCTGCACCATATCCTCCCAATCTGCCCTTTAACAGAAGGCTTGTTGTATGGGGGTTTTGTCAGAACTGTTAGCCTTTATATTAGAGCTGACATATGGAGTTTTATATTTCCTTAACCAGTGTGGTCCACCATAATTGGGAGAGAGACATTTATCTGTTTTGGAATCTTCTATGGAGACTGTGGCAGTATTCTTTAAATTCTGCCATACAATAACTTCTTTTATTTAAATGCGAAGCCTCAATTAACAAGAAATTCTAATGATCTATGTGTATGATCTGAAACTTCTACACAGACCATTGGATGCCTTAATACAAATGCCGTGGAGACTGTTCATTAGACTATTAAACCAATTAGAAAACCATGTGGTTTATTCTATCGTCTTGCTTAAGAGTCAACTAAATAGGCTACATGTGTTCAGTCTCACCAAATGGTTGTAATTGCACTGTGGATACTTAAACCGTTTTCTCCACCTACTATCTGTATGTCTAAACCATTACAGACGATCCCTTCTTAAAGTGTCTCAAGGTTTTACAAAAAACCTACATGGATAGCAATAGAAGCTTTTTTAAAGATGCATCTGTCACTTCATTCTTTGTAGCAGGGTTAAAGTCTGCTCTACTTTTTAATCAAACCCTTTATTGGGTACATTTGAGTTGATAGTTTTGTGTTTAAAAATTTGTAATTTAGAATTTTAAGGCATCCTTTGTTAGTGTATCTGGTTTGGAGACAAAAAAAACAAAAAAACAAGTATAAACATTGTAAAGGCCATTGACAGTAATGCAGAGATTGTATTAAAGAGACAGAGCGGTTGGGTTTGGCTCCTGTTTGTTGTAATGCACCAATCCAGCTGCAACAGTTTACAAAATAGATTTGTTGGTTCATCTAAAATGCTACCAGACGCTAAACAACTACACAACAACCCACCCCCTCAAACACAGACATACAACATCCATCTCTATTTAGCTACCTGCTTAGTGTCAATGTGTGTATTGGGTGGCCATGTATTTGTAACCTTGTGGGGACAATGTAATGTCAATTTCCCAGGAATATGCTACATTGTGGGGACTTACAAGCACTTTTAGTGACTAGTTGACCAGTCCCAATGAGAAAAGGTTCTCTTCTTGGGTTGAGGTCTAACAAGTGAATAGAGTTTGTTAGGTTTAGGGTTGGGTATAGTATATGTTGGTAATCATTAGGCTTAGGGTAAGGGTCTGCCATAGAAATGAATGTGAAATGAAGTCAATGCAAAGTCCCAAAATTAATATTGAGAGTAATGTGTGAATGTGTGTGTCTGAAATGATCGAAGAGTAACAGAAAAATCCAAAAGACATGCAAGCAGGCATAAGTTAAATTAATTACACTTAGTTTATTGTCAGAAAAAACACTGATTCTGGGTTGTTCTACAACACAACTTAAGAGTTAATCTACACTGTTTAACTTGTAAAGAAAAGTAATTAACGTCTATGATGTTAGCATTAATACAAAGGTAAGTTGAGGTGCTTTTTTGATCACAGTTTATTGGAGATAGCTAGAGAAGCACAACAACACAAACACCAACAACATATTATGTAACCCAACAGCACAACTCATTAATTAGGGGTAGAAACTTTTCAGACAACAGAACAATGGCTTACGGCATATGTCACTATCTTTTCAAAGTGACTTTTCCTCTGGGGTTGTAAGACTTCTAACTATATGAAGCACGGGTAAATCATCCATTTGGTTTGTATCTAGCTGGCTAAATTCTGACATGTCAATAATTCTCATGGAATAGAGAAAACACTGAAGTGAGGGTAATTAGACAGAGTGTGTAAATGTGTGTCTGGGCACACAGCTTCCCTCTCTGGCCCACATGACCTCAAATGTAAACAAATCTAGACGTGCCTCGATGAAAGTGCAGCCACCTGCAGAATCCTTCCATCGAGAGTCGTCCAGACCCTCTTTAGGAACCCATTTTAACCAGCTTGTGTTTTTGTATCTCATCATGTCTGCGGTGTGAGCTTACACCATGGGCATTAGAGATGGAAAACCCCACCTTTTTTTTAGAGCTTTATAGGACAGTCTTTGTTGTTGGACACAGTCAGGAGTTTTTCACCACCACTTTAAGATCATTTCTGTTACTGATGACTAAGCAGACAAATTAAAACTCGATGTGCAGAAAGACACTTAATGAGAGGACTGACCTCATTATTTTTAAAAGAAACATCAGACACTAAAACCCATGAGAGAGCAAAATTCTATACAGCAAAGAAAACTAGCCCTATAGAACCGTCTGTTAAGAGTACATTAAGAAAGAGAATTAGCCAGGTTTACTAACTCAGCTAAAGTAATCCTTGAAAACATGGTTAAGGTCAGAGTTTGCTCATCATTGGCCAGACAGGAGTGAGAATAAGAAAAGGGCCCCACTTGGAGGTACACACTGTTGGAAAATGTTAGCATTCTGTTGCCAAAAACAATTCTTCTCGACTTCGGGTAATGTGAGGCAATACAGGACCATGGCCCAATGGATGACTGTAGATGTCACAAAGCCGCAAGTTTCCAAAAAGAACCAGCAGCAAACAAACCTCAAGTCTTGAATTGGGGCCCCAACTGACAACCCATTGGCTGCAAGAGCCACACCAAAAAAGCCACAAATTGAAAGTTTTGCTACACATTTATTGGGAGCTTTTGCAGCGTCTTGGCCCGTTGACAGACCTTCATTGTGCTGGCTTTGCCTAGGATGGGTCATTGATCTTTTTGACGTATAGATGGGAGAGAAAGCAATCATTAACAATGGACTCTGTTGAATAATAAAATGCCCAGTATGTCATTTTATGTCAAACGTCAAGATAGAAAAATGTGGAAAAGAAATACATGAATTAAGTTTTGCAGTGCTGAAAGCTTTTAAAATAGAAGTGCACTTTTATGTCAAACTTAATCGGAAAATAGATCTGACTTTTCCGACTACTTGATACTAGCAAGATCAGAGTACCTGTACTTCCAATCATTGAAATAACACCAATGACCCCAGAAAATGAGGAGGAACAAGAGTGAAAATAAGTTTCCTATGTATCTTTTGATTATAGTGACTCTTGCTATTATATAAAAATCCCCCTGATTACAACCCTTTTGCTCTTTCTTGCCAGAGACTGCCTGACTGGGGATGCATGCCTAAATCAGTGTGCTTTTTAGCATCAAGTCAGATAGTGTCTGCTCATGGCTCCACGTCTTTTCTCAAGCATGTCCTTTAAAAGGGTGTAAAATAAGGCTATTTTTGGACTTCCCTGAGATAGGGCGTTTGCCAGCTAACCCAAAACAAGTCCAGGACTATGACTGCTTAAAAACATGCCAAAACAATGAGGTTTCTCACAGAGATTAAAAAGCGAAGTGGGAAGACTGAGGCATGATAAGGTAAAGAAAAGAGCTGAAATTTGCACTGCTTAATAGAAGGAAGTTGGGCGTCCATCAAAACTAATATATTTATGATTACTTTAATAGGTGAAAAACCTGTGGGGGCTTTTGCCAAGGCATACCTTTGAGTTAGAGCTCATAGGAAACTTTCACACTGTGCCTCCTGATAATTATTTTAAGAATAAAAATGTGTCTAATTTTTAATGATATAATCATAATGTTTAAACTTTTCTTAAAATGTTCTTTCTTTGAGCGAACCTAATGCTATTTTTCAAGGCAAAAGGAAAAACAAAAAGTTTGGCAGAATATAACAGCCTAAGGAGACACAAAAAAGATCAGATTTGGCTAACATTTATCACACTACAAAACAAAATCAAAAAAATCTATTACCCAACCTCACATCCAGATGGGTCTGGGTGTGGCCTGTGATGGAGCTGAACACTGTCGGCGAGATAGAGCTTAGCGCACAAAGCTTAGATTTGGAAGGCAAACATTCAGAAGTATTGTGTGACTCTGAAAAGTCATGGCCACTTGTCAAACACAAGCTGCTAATATTTACAGAACAAGCTCTGACCTCGTATGTCCCTAGAGTCTTTATGTGATTTATTAAGAAAATGCCATAGTGAAATATCCTGGCAGAGTTTGCATTGACCCTGGGCGGACTTGTCTCATCATTTCATAGTCCTGCATAATTCAAAGGTCTTGCACAGATACAAACTGTAGAGTCAAACACTCGGCAGTCCTGTACAATTCAAATATTTGCATTTATAACCTGACAAAAAAGGAGTTAAACGTATTTCCACCAATGGAATGCGATGTTACAAATTGAATAGAACTCACTCAGTAAACAAACCTTGGGAAAGAAGTTC